CAGTACCTCCTCCCAAGCCCTGCATTAGAGAGCATGCATCGAACTCTCTCTAGCAGTGTCTGATTAACCCGTTCTGCTACACCGTTCTGCTGTGGTGTCTTCCTGACAGTATGATGCCGACCTATACCCTCATCTGCACAGAACTGATTAAACTCGTCTTTGCAAAACTCTAGCCCATTGTCCGTTCGTAGCTTCTTGATCTTCCTTCCTTGTCGATTTTCCACCAAAGCTTTCCATTGCTTGAAAACTTTGAAGGCCTCATCCTTTGACTTAAGCAACCTAAGCCATGTGTATCGGGACTTGTCATCAACAAATGACACAAAATAGTGGTAACCTCCCATACCTTCAACTCTAGATGGACCCCAGCAATCTGAATGGATGTAATCGAGCACTGCATCAGTAATGTGAGCACCCTTGCTGAACTTTGACCTGTGTTTCTTACCAAACACACAATGCTCACAAAATTCAAGGTTGGCAACCTTGACCCCGGATAGAAGACCCCTCTTGGACAATAGCTGCATCCCCTTCTCCCCCATATGACCAAGCCTCATGTGCCAAATCTTAGTCATCTCCTGGTGAGATACAGATGCGCAAACCGCAGAACTAGGCAGTGTAACACCCTCAAAAACATAGAGGGTGTTCCTTTTGATACCCTTAAGTACCAACTCAGAACCTCTGAAAATACACAACTCCCCATCTGAAAACACACCATTGTACCCCAAGTCATCCAGGGTACCCAATGAAATCAGATTCTTTCCTAAAGCAGGAACATGCCGTACATTAGTCAAAGTTAACCTCCGCCCATCAACAGTCCTCAACCTCATGGAACCAATACCTGTGACCTTACATGGAGCATTGTTACCGACTATAACCATGCCCCCATTGCGAGGTTCATATGTATCAAACCAATCTCGACGTGGACACATATGGAACGAACACCCTGAATCTAGAACCCAGTTATCAGATAAATCATCAGACCTAGCAGAACTGACTAATGCTAAATCTTCCTCTGAATTATAGCTCTCATTCGGTTTCTCTTCAACTACAGCAGCCTGGGACTTGTTTTTCCTCACCGGACAATTATTCCTAAAGTGACCCGGTTCTTTACAGTAATAACATGTTTTAGTAGTAGTTTTACTAGATCCATCCTTGCCGTTTCCAGCACCCGACCCAGCATTGTTCCCCTTGTTAAACCCCTTATTCTTTTTAGACTTTCCGGACTTAACAAACAACCCACTACCATTATCCCCATTATCACTCGTAGCTTTCATTCTGAGTTCCCTAGTATGAAGTGCTGCCTTCACTTCTTCTAAGGTTATAGAATCCTTACCAACAACAAAAGACTCTACAAAATTCTCAAAGCTAGACGGTAGAGATACAAGTAAAATCAACGCAGCATCCTCATCATCAATTTTAACATCTAAATTACGTAAATCAAGCAAAATAGAGTTAAGTTTTTCTAGATGTTCCCGTAAGGAAGTACCTGACTGCATCCGGAGGCTAAACAACCGCTGTTTCAGTAATAATTTGTTGGTCAACGACTTAGTCATATACAATGACTCCAGCTTCAGCCACAATCCAGCCGCCGTTTCCTGATCAGCCACCTCCGTGATGATTTGATCATCAAGACTAAGTAATATGGTAGAGTGTGCCTTCTCTTCCATAACTTCTAACTGCGAGTCAGTCGGTCCGTCTCCTGACTCCGAAGTAGTACTCTTTGGAGCCAACGGACGCCATATCTGCTGTTGTTTTAACAGAGCCTTCATCTTAATTTGCCATAGCCCGAAACTATTTTTCCCGGTAAACTTCTCAATTCTTATTGTTGAATCTCCTGCCATTGTTATCTTCAAGAAACTCTCCAAGGATTGAACCTGAGCTCTGATACCAATTGTTGTGCGACAGCGGAAGCAAAGGTCGAAAACAAACAAGAAAACAATAAAGAAATTCAATGCAAACAATAAGAACAACACCAAGAATTTACGTGGTTCACTATCGATGTGATAGCTACGTCCACGGGCACCGAGATCGAATGATTTCACTATAAACTGCAAAGATTACAAAGATGATTCTTGTATTTCTCAAGAACGGCTCTCACTCTCTCTCTCTTAACCCTTATACTAATATTAGGGAGGTTTTATATTAATCCCTAAAATAAAAGATACTTGGGCAAAAAGATAACATAAAAGATAACTTTAAATCGTAAAATCCGCGTCTCCGCATTTTTCCTTCTCCGCCCGGTCAGACCGGGCAAGGTCTGCCCGATCGGGCGCGAGAAGAAAACTCCATACGAATGCTTCAACGTATCCAACCCCCACCGCCCGGTCAGACCGGGCAATGTCCGCCCGATCGGGCGGACAAAGCTACGAAGTACGAGTCACCTAATACTTATCAACAGTTACTCTGGCTGCCATGTCTGTTTTAGATATATGCAGGCAGTGTTTAGGTTGTGAGTTTAGCATTCGACGAGTAGCGATTTATATAGATGTTGGACTCAATGAGGTCAATGCAAAGAAAATCCTGGGGTTTGAAGTTCATGTCTGGAAGGAAGCAAGTTGGAGGAAATTGTCTTAAGTCTTAAGAGTATGCTTGGAAAGTCTGAGTCAAGCTATAAATTCTGTATCAACTGTATGTTATTGGTCTATTTGCCTAACTAATTGGACTAGATGCAAAATGTCTTAAATTGACAAGGAAATTGTTAGTAAGAGCACTATTTTTGACATGTACTTCTTACCCTGTTAGTTGCCTAATTAATTGCAGGACAATTAGCCTGGTTTTTACTAACACAACTTCTGTGTTAATATTGTGTTTTTCAATTTCTGAACATGAACGGTGTTATAAAAAAAGTAATGTACTGCTCTGTCCTTGAAATATAAACCATTTTGATTTACTGCAAAAATTTCCGATCACAGAAAAATGCAATTTTGTTCACTTGTATATATGCATAGCTCTGTTATACTTTCTGCTATTCATTTTTGTTCACTTGCATATGCTTTTTCTACGGTATTTAGTTCCAGCTGCCAATAATGTGACTATTGGTACTTGGATAGATTCACACTTTCTCCAAATTATGGGGCAAGAAAAAACTCAAGAAATTTTCAGAAGTGGGGTTGGGAGGGAGGCATCTTCTCGGAAATATACTTGTAAATTGGCAACATTTTTCCTTATTTTGAGGCCCGCAAATAGTATTTGTAAATGTATCCTTATATTTATCTAAACTACAGTGCATCTTGTCAAAAAAAAAAAAAAAAAAAAAAAAAAAACTTATACAGTGCATGATTTTAATATTATTAAAACTTATTTTATTTGTTTAATTTTTTTTTCTTTTGAACCTATCTTGTTTTTCCAATGAATACTTTGCCTATCATATTTTAGGTTTATTTTGCCATATAGTTTAATTTGATGTTTGACATACTTGCACCTTACGGTGTCAATTATTTAACATAGCACCTCCATTAAGGGCCTGTTCTCATACGTTGAAATTTAGTTCAGTTCAGTTCAGCTCAGCTCAGCTCAATTCAGTTCAGCTCCTAATTTCCTTCTCTTATAAAATATTCATTTCAATTCAGTTCAGCTCAGTTTAGTTCAGTTTAACTCAATTCAGTTCAGTTCAGTTCAGTCAATGAGAATAGGCCCTTAGTATAATTGTCGCAAACTAGTTTACATTGGTTTCAATCCTTAAGTTGGAACAGAACATATATGTAGTTGCATATACTAGCAGGGAATATCTTAGGAACATTTACTAAATGCATCACAGTTTCTAATCAAACTCTTCAGTACATGACTGTTCTATAATCTTTTTTCATCAGCCTTACCTATATTTTTAAGATCTTGTACAACCAACCCTTATTATTCAGAATCTATTAAGGAACATTCTTCCCTGACCTTTTATGATTTTTACCATCACTAACTGCTCACTATGACTGCTAAAGGTGATAACACTGATGTTGAGCTCAGGAGTCAGGACGTGTCGTAACGGCCTTAGCTTCAGTGTGGAGAGGGACGTGCCATTGCTCAAAGATAAAACTTGAAGGAAAAAGACTGCTTTAACCCAAGTTAGTGTATGGGGAAAGGAGGATAAGGACATTTTGTTACATTATTGCTAAGTTTTAGGCACTCTTAACATCTTATTTTTGCTCAAACCCTTCCTACCACAATAGGTGATTGCTTTAAGAGTAAAAAGCAAGCTTTACTACTATCTTTAGGCCATAATGGAGGTAATGATGTGCAAAGTAGTATGTAGTAGTTTTTATCATGGTGTCTTGCTATTGTGCGATAATAATTGGAGCTACAAAAATATTTGGCTTGAGGATTCATAGTTTAACTATCTTTTAGGTTTATTAATCAGATATTTTGTAACTTGTTGCTATGTTTTAGGATGTTAAATTAAGATACAGTATAAGCTGGTCTTAAAAAATGCGTGATTTTGTTGTTCTAAACCACCATAACTAGTAACTGCATACACAAATTCAACTTACTACCAAAAATATGAAATTGAATTGGTTTGATCAATCCTTAAGATCAACTATGAGTTACTATGATAAGAAAGGGTTTTTATTTCAAGGATATTAAGTGAATTTATTACTTTTATCTTGATACAATTACATTGTGCTATCCTAGGTTGATCTTGATACAATTGTTTTTTTTTTTTTTCTTTTCTTGGAATTTGAGACCATCACAATACCCTTGAGATAAGATATGATGGAGTCTTTTTCAGTTTTTCTACCACACAAATGATTGGGTATAAAAGACAAAAGAAAGAAAAGTAGACAATTGCGCATCAGATTTTGGTTAGTAGTTTTTTTGCCAATTGCTCTAAGGGGGTGGCAAATGCATTATAACTCCTATAATTTAGCTAATATTAAATGTCTACACATGAATATGCTATATATTGATGGGTCTAGTAAGGTAAAAAGATTAGCCTTATTAATCCTTGCTCTTCTTTTCATGCCCATCCATTTTTACTCTAAATATAAAAGTTATAGTTTAATTTGGAAACGTTCTACTCGAATTATCCTTTCATTATTGTATAATATTATATTCATAATCTCAAACTTTAATTGGTTGAAATGAAGAGTCAGAGTTACGTAGGCGAAGATTTAACATAGCTACCTACCCCGAGCTTAACTTGACCTGAGTGCCGATTTCACCCTGATTTATCTCTAGAGACACAGGGGCCCAGTAGCTAGTTGCTCTGCATGAGAGACTGAGACTCTGATAGGGTGAGTACACTAGGTGCTGTGCTTACAAAGATTCCTTAGTAGCAAAGATTTCACTATTTCTTGGTCTTTTGTATTTTTGCACTTTTCTTCTCTTTGGAATCTCATTTTGTGACCTGTTTTTATCCCTTCTTTTCTCTTTGCTTGAATTTAATCAATCAAAATCATATCAGGAGACAGTATCTTCTCATCCTTCGATTGATTGATCCTCTTTTATAACCTTCGTTTTCTATTAGTTGCTACATATCGAGAAGACAAACATATTAAAGAATAAGAGAGTAATACATACAAAATTTATAAACAAAAGAAACATAACTATTAATATGAAACTTTTAAATCTGAAAATTATAGCAATTACTAGAAAACGGAAGAAGTATAATATTATTCGATAAGTAAAGTAATAAGGAAAAGAAGATAACTTTAAGTAATCTACTAATACTAAATTCCTATAATCTATATTTAATCTTTCTGTTCATTTTGCTAATCTAATATATATAATCGCACGGGCTTACATCTAGTTCTATCTATATCAGTCATTATCATATTCACTACACAAAAATAAAGAAAAGGAATAAGAATAAAAACAAACTAAGAAGATACTTTGATTTTATACTTGAATCTCATAACTAAGATTCTTAGCTAATGGTATAAATATACTGAATCGGATCTACAATTCTATATGTCAGTAGAACATTGAGTCCCCTGCTTAGAACTCAAAAAACCTGTAGGATTAAGCGGTGTAAGAGGTAAAATAGTCACACAATTAACATTTATACGATAACTTCCTGAAACCCAACTCGCAACCTTCCATCGAATCCTTCCATCAAACTTGAACACTAGTATCATCTTCCCTAAAGCATGATCACGGCCTACTTCATAGCCAAGTGAAGGGGACACGGGGAGGCCGTTACCAACGAGTGAAGCCGATATCAAGTTACTATCTTGTTGTCCTTGGTAATAAGGAGGGATTGGTGTATGTAGAGTTATTTGTTGCCCTTTGTAAGAAGCATAAGCTTGTAGCTCGTCGTAGTAAATTCCAACTCTTTTGTTAGGGTTTCGAGCTTCTAAGGTGATCTCGATGGAGGAGTTTAGGATGTGAGGGGATGAGAAGTTAAGCTGGTAGACGTCGATTTCTTGGATGATGAACTGAGGTTTTGCAGGGTGGAGGATGAACCAAATGAGAAGTATGAATGAAAGGATGGAGAATACTAGTGTAGAGAGGATTTTGAAGAGTTTTTTGTTAAGGAAGTTGAAGTTGAAACCTTTTTTTGCGCAATGTTTTGGTGATTTTATGTCGATTTGAGACATTTGTGATAATAATAATAAGGTGAAAGTGTTGAAAGATGAAAGGGTTGAGAGAAAGTGGGAGTAAGAGGTTTTTTTGCATGAGGAGTGATTATGGGAGGTTATATAAAGGAGGGGGTAGCAAAAATACACAAAGAAAAAGGTGCAATAATAATGTTGTTTTATGATCTTTTGATTGTCATTGCTTGTGATGGTAGTTTTACATTATGAAATATAGATTTGTTGTCAATAATGATATATTGTTCTAGCTAAAATCAATAATGATTATGAATGAATCGATTAAATGAAAATTTCTTTTTTTGACTTTTTTGTAAGTTTTTAAATTAATCTTCACTCCGTCATTTAATAATATAAATAAAGGGTATATTTTTGTAAGAAAGCTAACACTTATTTTATCCAACATCTTTATAAAAAGACATATGTGGCTATTGTTCTTTTACTCTTATTTAGTTGATTAAACAAGTAATTAACTGCAATTGATTTCAAAGGTTTAGGACAAAGTGATTTTTATCAAACTCATCAATCATGTAATTTTGAATGAGGCGTGTTACCCCTAAATATGTGTGGACCAAACCAAATATTAGAAAAATTAAACAGGTCTAAGTTAGCTCTCTGCCTTTTGGGAAAAGAGTTAATCATTTTATTTTCATGGTAATGTATTTTAGTTGCAAAAGCAATTTCCAAACATAAGAAAAACTGAAAAAGGGAAGTCAAATCACTTTTAGCTTATGTGTTTGTTACGCGACAATTCAATCATTTTACCAACAGTGCCTCAATCAGAAATTCAGAATTTTGATAATCGTAATTAATTATATTTATTTATGGGGTAAAAAACTTGAAAAAGAGAAATAATATGCTGTTTTATTTCTTGAATGTTTATAAAGTGTCACCATAATGTGTAGTGCTCTTTTTGAAGTTTTGTGCAAACAGAAAGTCAAAAGCAACTCCATACATTTGATCAGCTAGTAAACACCAAGCTTGCACACATCAACAGCTCATTAGACAATGTTGAAACTCTTTGTTTGTGTTTATAGTTGTAACCAATATATAGTTGAAAACTTGGATTGTGTTTAGGGACAATGATTGGAAACGACTAATTAAGTAATTATGGAGTATCATGCACGTCGCACTCTTGACTCGCGAGGTGGCATGACACAGTCACTACGTGAGTAATATGGGTGTAATAATGTGTACACATTTATGTGCGACATTCTCAATGCTCTTGAGTGCATAATATAAGTACAACTGACAAATTATAAAAGAATATATTATATATAAACGACATATCATGTGTCCTTAGCTTGTACTCGAATTATATTAAACATTTTTATTATTGTATGGTCTTGAATTTTCTATTCCTTGGAAATTTGTCAAAAAACTTTAGTTCTTGTATAGCTTTTGATACAATAACGGATTCAAATCTTGGAAGAAAACTTGTATTCTCGACCTATGTTTTCGGAAATGAGATCTTACATAAAGAGAGTCAAATAAAAATAGCCTTTTTTGGTTGCTAGATAAAGGTTAAATAATCATGAATATACAATAGATGCACTTACATATTAGAGAAATAACTCTATTGTTTTATTGATATATGTATATTATGTACCTTTCCACTTTGCGTGCCTGGTATCTAATTTATAAAAAGGTTGGCACACTTTTTAAAAAGTAACTTTTATTATTGCTTTATTTGAAGTGCAAATGAATTGAAAAAGACATAAAACAATCAATGAAATTAGTAGCCCCTCGATTTGTAATTGTACACCCCACCTGATTTTGCATAACATTATTGTATGAATTGAGCTTATTATTAGCAGTGGCGGACTTGGGCTTAGACCTGGTGGGTCAAGTGACTCACCAAGCCCAAAAAAAAATTTTAAGTTATTTAAAAAAAAAAAAAAAAAAAAAAAAAAAAATTAAAATCAGTTACAGGAGAGACGGAGAGTTCAAGGCTTTCAAGCCCTAGCCTCTTCGTGCTCTGGCTTCTCCTTCTCCGCCTAATCGCCTCCATTCTTCTCTTCGTGAATCGTGACTTCTCCTTCAGTCCTTCTCCGCCTAATCGCCTCCATTCTTCTCTTCGTGAATCGTGAGTCGTGACTTCGCCTTCTCCGCCTAATCGCCTCCATTGTTAATCGCCTCATCTCCATTCTTCTGTTCGTGACTTTGCGTCCGAGGTTGTGGAAGATGACTAATTGACTTTCCCATCGTCACATTTATCAGGTTCGATCTTGTTTCTCTGTCTTGATTTAGTTTCAAATTTTTGGGTTTGATTGTCGTGGATTTTTGCATATATGTTCCTGTTGTTTTCGACATGTTCAATGTGTATTCGAATTTTTTTGGTTCAATCTTTGTGGGTGTATTTCAGCAAAATCGCTTCGTTTTTATTGGGGTTTATTTGATCATTATTTGTTTTCGATTTTTTGGCTTTATTTGGTCGATTGGTTTTCGATTATTTTGGGGTTTATTTGATCGATTTGTTTTCGATTTTTTGACTTTATTTGGTCGATTGGCTTTCGATTGTTTTGGGGTTTATTTGATTGATTTGTTTTCGATTTTTTTGTCTTTATTTGTTCAATTGGTTTTCGATTATTTTAGGCATCATCCAATATTCTTTTTTTAGTCAATCATAATTAGAAAAATATTTGATATCTTAGAAAAACAGGTCATTGGCTGCAAATTAGGGTATGAAACTTGGTATTCAAATACTTTAATGTTCCTGCTTCTTTATTTGATTGTCATTTTGAATAGAATTGTGCTAAGTAATCATCTAATGATTCACTCCGCTTATTGTGCTTCCCATCCTTAAGTATGTAGACATTTGATTATTTATTTCCCATTAAAAGGTGCTTACACTGTTACACATGTTATGTAAAGTATTTGGCTTGTCAAATTTGGATATCTTTTCTGTTGATCTTTGGGTCAAAGTCTCTTATGAGATCCCTTGATTTTAGATATATATTTGATGCACAGAGTCTATTACTTGATTCTTTTTATATCTGGCTGCGTTTGATCTAGCTCCCTTGTCTGACTGGTGTCCATTATGAATTGCTTGATTTAGACCATTTAGTTGAATATTTATTCAAATAATTTTTCTGGGGAATATTGCTTGATTTAGTTCAATATTTATTCAAATTTCAGAATGAAGAGAAAACATACTCCAAATGAAATGCAAAACATTACTAGCTTCTTTGCTAAAAAAAATCCTACTCCAACTTCTCTTCCACATCCAACACAAAATGAACAAACTATAACTCCACCTCAACAAAGTGAGCAACTTTCATCTCCATCTCATTATTCAACTCAAAATTCCCCTCAAAATGAACAAGGCCAATGTTCTCCTAATGCCCCAATCTTTGGAGAAAGATTAAGTGAACATGAATTTGCTAATCTTCCACAAGATCCAGGAAAGAGGAGAAAAATGAGTCAATTTCATAAAGATGATAGAGATTTAGTGAGAAGAATTTACATTCAAAGAAAGCCTTGTCAGCCCAAAGACTTTACATTTCCTCAAACTTCTATTTTTGGCAAAAATCGTCGCTTTTGTGCTAAGTGGTTTGATACTTGGACTTGGCTTGAGTATAGTGTGGAAAAGGATGCTGCCTATTGTTTCCCTTGTTATCTATTCAAGGATGAAAATGCCTTTGGAGGTGATGCTTTTGTTAGTGATGGTTTCAAATCATGGAATCGATCGGATTTAATAAGAAAACATGTCGGTAAACACTTGAGTGCACATAATAATGTTGTTTTAGCTATGGATTTGTTCAAGAAACAAAATTCAAGCATCACACAAGCCTTAACAAAACAAACCGCTGAGAGTACAAATGCATATAGGACGCGACTTGAAGCTTCAATTGAATCTATCCAATGGCTTTTACTCCAAGGGTTGCCTTTCCGTGGTCATGATGAAAAAGAAAGTTCCTTAAGAAGAGGTAACTTTCTTTCACTTTTATCCCTTATTTCCAAAGGTAATCCTGAATATTCTAAAGTTGTTTTCAAAAATGCTCCTAGTAATTGTCAACTTACTTCTCCTAAAGTCCAAAAAGATATCATAAATGCATGTGCAAAAGAGACCACTAAAGCAATGCTTGAAGATATTGATGGTGGTTTATTTTCTATCCTTGCTGATGAGTCCGCTGATGTTTCTGACAAGGAACAATTGGCTCTTTGTTTGAGATATGTTAATAGAAAGGGAGAAGTGTGTGAGCGTTTACTTGGTATTGTGCATGTTGTAAACACTGCTTCTTTGACTCTCAAAACTGCTATTGAATCCTTATTAATGGAGCATTCTTTGTCTTTCTCTCAAGTACGGGGTCAGGGTTATGATGGGGCAAGTAATATGCAAGGTTCTATTAATGGCCTTAGGACTCTTATAGAGAATGAGTGTAAAGAAGCTTATTTTGTCCACTGCTTTGCTCACCAACTTCAATTAACTCAAGTTGCACTTGCTAAAAAGAATTCAGATTGTGCTTGGTTATTTGTTGATGTACTTGCACCTCTCTTGAATTTTGTGGGGGGTTCACCAAAAAGGAAAGAGTTTCTTCGTGAAAATCAAGCTCAAAGAGTGGTGGATGCATTGTCTCTAGGTGAACTTGAAACGGGTTCAGGTTTAAATCAAGAACGTGGATTAGGTAGACCTTGTGATACTCGTTGGGGATCTCACTTCAAGACAATCTTGAATGTACTTGATTTATTCCCTGTAATCCTTGGTTCTCTTGAGGATATTGCAAAAGTATCTGATACAATAGATTCTAATAGAGCTCAAACACTTACAAATCTTCTGATGTCCTTTGATTTTGTGTTCGTGGCACACTTGATGGTTAGTATATTTGCGATAACAAATGCTTTGAATGTGGCCTTACAAAAGCACGATCAAGACATTGTGAATGCAATGGCCATGGTTAATGTAACCAAGACTAATTTGCAAAAAATGAGAGATGAAGGATGGGATTCTCATATGGAAAAGGTAATTTCTTTTATTGGTGACTATGACATTGCAGTTCCAGATATGGAGGCTAAATATGTTGTTCCCGGGAGGAGGTTGTTTAGAGGTAAATGCCCACAAGTGTCCAATCTACATCATTTTCGAGTTGAAGTTTTTTTTGGTGTCATTGATCTTCAATTGCAAGAACTTGAAAATCGATTTCCCGAAATAACTAAAGAACTACTTGTGTGTATGTCTTGTTTGAGTCCTGTGGATCGTTTTTCTAAGTTTGATAAGGAAAAATTGATTAAGCTTGCAAAATTCTATCCTAATGAATTTCCAAGTTCAGAATTGATAGTCTTTGGTCATACACTTGATAGTTACATTTGTTCTGTTAGAGGAGATGAAAGGTTTTGGAATTTGAAGGGTCTTAGTGATCTTTCAATCAAATTGGTTGAAACGGGATTGTCTGAAACTCATGATAGGGTCTATTTACTTTTGAAATTGGTGTTGCTTCTTCCTGTCGCAACGGCAAGTGTGGAAAGAGTATTTTCTGGCATGAAGCAAGTGAAAGACAAACTACGAAATAGCATGGGAGATCAAATGTTGAATGATTGTTTAATTACTTATTTGGAGAATGATTTGTTTTTGAATGTTAGCATGGAAGATATCATGAATCGATATCAAAACATGAAAACTCGTCGAGAACTATTTTAATAAGTTTGCATTACTATTTAGTTGTCTTTTATAGTATTATATGAACATTTGGTTGTATTTTGTACTGTTTGAATATTTGGATGTATTTTTTAGTACTATTATTTGGTTGTTTGGTAAAAAAAAATTTTTAACATATTTGATTATCGATTGTGACTCACCAGTCGGAAAATCCTGGGTCCGCCACTGATTATTAGATACCAATTAATGCAAATTCTACTAGAGCGACTCAGATCAATTGAATCAAATGGAGATTAAGTTCTTCTTAAGTCGAATTGATGTCATACTTAGTTTGAGGGAGTCCACTAAATATAATACTCCCTCCGCATTCAATTATTTACAATATTTGCCATAATTGGGTGCTACCTATTATCTGCAACAAATTTTTTTATTTCTATTTTTAGTAAAATTTATAGTGTAAAAAGACATCCTTACTCTTACTTTTTTGTTTTAAATTTGTTTAACTCATCTTAATTATACACAAAGGGAACCACCTTTTCTCTCCTTTTTCCCACTCAAATGTACCCACATGCAAAATTAAGTCACATGCACCACTTTCTCTCTCCTATTTCCCTCTTTTTTTCCAACTTAATTAAACACCCTAACTTGTCATTAAACTTTCCTAAAAGTTTTACTTAGGAGTCTGTAAAAGTTGTCTTTGTTGCAGATAATTGAAATCGGAGGGAGTATAAAATTTGTAGCTTTCCTGTACATAATTTACTAGAATGAGTCAATGAATCATGGCATACTCAATTACTCAAACTAATATAGCATCACCACTGCCACCGCGTTCTTCCTAGCAAGTGCTAATGGTGCTACCATTATAAGGCTCAATCTCGAAACCTCTAAAAACGTCGAGACTAGCTTATATCTCATTCACTTTTGGTGTGGTCCTTTGAGAATTGTATTTTGGATGATCGCTCAGGCAATTAGATGGCGTTATGGTTAAACAAGGGGCACTACTTGAGAATTAATAATAATAATAATAATAATAATAATAATAATAATAATAATAATAATACTTTACATATTATGTGCAACGATTAGACATTTTTCCTTTCAACTTTATGTTAAATCGTTGTAAATAATATGTAACGTAGGTAGTAATAGTAATAATAATTATAATAATAATAATAAAGGTCTTTGTAATATGAAGTAAGTTAGAGGCAAAAAAATAATTTTTTTTTTTTTTTTTTGGACACAGACTTCTCACGTGTCTTGATTCTAGAAGAATCTCATAGCTAAGAGAGTCTAGAGTAAGGTATTTGTCTTCGTCAGCAGTGCTAAGTCTGACATCATGTATGCTATTGGGCCTTTGGACAGCCTCTATGTTGTCGTTTGTTTGGGTCAATTAAGTTCATTCTATTCATCATTTCTTGTTGGAGCCTAACATGAGTCATTGCCTCATTGGCAATTGGCATGACTCAATTGTCTGTTCGTTGACTAGGGTGCAAGCCTTGTGCGAAAATGGTGCTTGGGTGCACATAGTAAGAAAAGTGGATGTTAGATTTTAGAATTAATGGTTTGTTCTCATTGACTGAACTCAACTGAATTTATTAAAACTGAAATGAACTGAAATGAATATTTTATAAGAGAAGGAAATTAAGAGCTGAAGTGAACTGAATTGAAAATAAACGTATGAGAACAGACTCTAACACTTTCGTCTATTGACAAAAAGGCCGAGGAACGGAGATCAATGGGGTGTTTGTGCGCACATAGTACATAGGCACAAGTGGGATCGATAACAAGAAAGTTATGTTTGATACAATTCAGCGAGTTTGGGGGTTATAAGATTAGCATCAATACAATAACTATGTTGGCGCAACTACTCAAAACTAGTATTATAACAAGACTAACAAGTAACAATGAGTAAGAAGCTTATATTTTCATTAACCATGACCCTCTAAAAAAGCTTTATTTTAGAATTACAATATTATTTCAATAAACCCCTAAAAATTCAACATAGTATACACATAGACAGATAGTGCCCATGCATATTGTAAAAACAAAGAAAAAAAGATAGAGAACTTTTTAAATACTCAAATTCATTATTATTTAGTTTAGGACTTGTAAAAAGGGGGGGTTAACCGGTTCAGTCATAAGCTCTAAATATAAATATTTTGGATTTATTTATGTTTGAAAAGAGAACTAATTACAAAAAGGTAGAAAGACATAGAAAATTATGTATGTGGTGGCATATATACTTTTTGGAACTCTGTAGTACAGTCAACCATTTTTATTAATTTAATTGAGCTCTCTTACTCTCTTATATTTGTGAATTTTGTCCCATGTATGATAGATGTATAAATACTTTTACGTCAAGCAATATTTTTATATATGAACTTTTTATTGGGTATGGCGTTAAGCAAATAGTTAGTACAACCTTTGAAGCAATTTTTTTTTAAGGTTGTTACGATGCACCACAATTGTTGTATACTGTATTTAAGTAATCCAATAATAATACCCACCAACTATGAACATTGGTGTATTAAAATAAGGGTGGTCTGTGCTAATGACATAAGACTAAGCATATATGTGCGTGCGCGCACACACACAAAAAAAAAAAAAAAAAACTTTAAGCATATTTTACCAAAACCACATTCCTTTGTGCCTAGTAAATGGAAATTCCTTTACTTCTTATTTATCTATCTTCTAAATTATCTAGTCTGTACAGATCATATTGACCAATGAGGGGGTTTTGGTTCAATAGAGCATTTCTTCTTATCTATCAAAAAAAATTTATATCCTAAACTCGTAGAAAAATACGTTTTTTTTTTTAAAAAAAAAAAAATCCATCTTATAATGTAGACTTAACAAAAACTGATATATTCCACATATTTATATTGTTTTATTATATAGACACTAAAAATTAAAATTATCCGGAGAGCCACTTTCATATAATCAAACAAACATTAAATATTTCCCTCAAAAAAAAACATTAAATATCACATGCCAATAGTACCTTTTTTTTTGGTTAGAAATAGCACACCTCAGAACCTTAAAATCTACATAATTAGCTGTGCAAGCTCAAAAAAAATAAAAAAATAAAAAAAAGTGTCACGAGATAAATCCCTTGCAAGGTTGTAAAATGTAATTGATGTTTGTGAAAACGAAATCTTGTGGTCACTACTCAGTGCTCACTAGCATCATTCAAAGCATTACTATTTGATAACCTTCCATTTTTTTTGTTAAAGTTATATTGGACCAGCATGCTCTGGCTTGTAGGTTTGTGAATGAGACTTTGTGATTAATTCATAAAGTTCTTCTAAAATGTTTTCATTGAAGTATATAATTGGAAGTTGTTTTCCCATCAACCCTTCTTTGCTTCTCAATCTTTATTATCACTTCTTCCATGTATACATAGTTCATGTTCATTGTTCGACTCATAGTAAGATCATCAACTTCTACATTACTAGCAAGGGCAGAATCATAACAAAAAAAAAAAAAAAAAAAAAAAAAAAAACGATCTTGTACATTACTCAAATTATGTACTAGCACGAAGATTGTAGTATAAGGTGATAGGTTCATCCTAGCATGTTGATGGGAGGGGAGAAGAGAGTGAGAGACGGGTTTAAATGGAAGTTGATGTTCCTGAATCTTGTATAAATTGTAATCTCAAGTTTCATCCAGGATTTCTGTCTGTAAAATCCGGAACCAAAACAAGCATGTTATTTCATCTACAGACCTACTTATAAATAAATACAAAAATCTCACACTAACACCTATCTATTAATCTATATGTACTATACAACAAAACCAAAACATATGGCATCCCTGGCTAACTGGCAGTTGAATTGCCACCTGAATGGTTAGATTTTAGTGGTGGAGGATCTGGAGGTACTTGACGTACAAATTGCCCTTTTATTCGTGGACGTTGCTCTGCAAGCTTTTTCCTGCTCTTATATCGAACCTGTAAAAAAGTTTTGAGTATTAGCTTTGACAATACAAGAACAAGATATCATCCTTTAGTTATACAATACACCTCACTTGACAGAATAAAGTGGTTACCTTCTTCTCGTAGCATCTTTCTTTTCTTTTCAAGCGGAACTTATTAATGGCAGCTACTCGTTGCAAAGACCTTTGTCGAGTCAAATCACAAACACGACCTTGATCATTTCCTCCCTCAGAGCTACCACCGGTTAGATGCCCTACTCCTGATGTGTCATTATGTAAAGAACTACTGGCACTTTGATCAGCAGCAGAAGAAAAGTGTGCTCGCTCCTCAAAAGATTCCAGGTTATTTTGATCCTGCATATTCATTGGTTGATTGGATGATAGCTTAGGACTTTGTTCGAGGGGTTGGAAATGGTGTCTGCCGTTAATCACATCCATGCTGAATTGATGATAAGAATTCATTTGCTGGTTGGCAGAGCTTGGACTAGGTGAGACCGATGGTGTGCAAGCCATAGGACAAACATCTATTTGCATCCCACTCACTGGAAGTGGCATGGGAAATAGTTTTTCTGAAGCAGCTCTGTACTCGTTTTCAACTTCTTTCGCGAGATCTGTTGAGAGGGACATCGCCTTTCTATCATATGAAAGCAAAGGATCCTTAGCACTGTAGCTTCTCTCTAGAGCATTGTCTGATGAGTGATCAACAGGTTTGCCTAATTTGTCTTTAGGAGTTGAAATGGAACTTGGATTTGAATTTGACATATGTGATGCCTTGTTCACATACCTACAAAACCAACAACATAAATTAGAAAATTTGAAAACCATAAAAGCCTGTTTTGCTACTAATTTCTTTACTAGCTTTTCTGTTCGATATCATTGAGTAGCAGCCTAGAAGCATATTACACATGACTCATCATGAAGGAAGGAAGTAACTCACCGTGTAAAAGCTGATGCGTTGGAATGATTCAGCATTTGATTTTCATTACTAGTCTTATTTTCAATAACACCAGGAAAGAATCTCCTCAGACTGAGATCCAACTGTTGAGAGGGCTCTGATCTGTTTTCACCGTCATTTAAGCACACGTTGTGATTAGAATGGCTATCTAGAGCTCCAATCAGATCAATGGCTTCTCTTGAAGAATTGGGGTTAACATCCATGATATCATTATCTTCTGTGTAGAAAGTCACATTCTCTTCACGACTTTGTTGATCTACCTTTTGATCTTCATTGATTGCATTGTTACTGTTGCAGGCAGCAGTATCTGATCCTACAATGAAAATCTTTCTAATAAGAAAACTTCGGAGCACAAATTTTAGATCAAACAGCAAAAAGAAAGTAGAAGCTAAATGAAGAGATGTAATTGGTTTAATGGATTAGAGGCAGCATCATGTACAAAAGTATAGGTATATTTACCTGCAACAGCACTCTCAGGAGTTTGTAAATTTTGACTTGAATTGCCAAATTTTCCATTTTCCTGTATGATCAATTCTGAAACAGGAGAAATCCCCTGATTTGGCTGTGAGTTATCTTCTACTTCAGCCATGTACGCGCTCTCATCTTCCATATTTTGCTTTCCACAGGAGCTCTGCAGGAGACAGCAAAGAAGCAATCTCAATATTAAACTTCAAGTAGCCAACTCAAACTGGAAAGGTAATCAGCAATACTATCGTTTTCAGCAGAATGAGAGCATTCCCCATCATGACACGAAACAAATCAAGACAACATGTAGAAAATTTCTAGTATGTACACAGAACATCATGGTTTCTGTTAAATCAGCACCAATGGTCTACTCATGATGCAAACGTCAAAAACTAGCAGATGTGTATTTGCCCTAAAGCTCACAAAGGAGACCATATCACCAACTATTATGTCTTTCATTCTTCTAAATTATGTGTCAAATAGAAGAAACATGTAATTGGAGCTACAGAATATTTTATACAAGGCAAAAGTTCCTAACCTGTGCATCACTTCCTTTTTTGTTACACAGCTCTTGCCCTGGGGCACAAGTTTTGGAACTGCTTGAGTGGTCACTTCCAGCATTGTTTTCTGCTGTGGCTTCGAGCTTTTCCTGTCCAACACTCTCATCCCGTGGGCTAAGTCCACCTCCTCGATTCAACTGCTGAAATATGAATAGGATACCCGATAGTTAAAGAAAGCCATGGATGAAAAATCTAAAGGAGACTTATAATAAGGGCAGAAAACATAAACATACATGTTTTCTTCTCCATACATGCTGCCATAAGTTCTTCAACTCATTTATCCTTATCGGTTTAATAAGAAAGTCGGCTGCTCCTCTCAACATGCATTTATAGACCATGCTAATTGGATCATTCGTGGACATCACTGCATAACATTAAACATGTCAGAAACTGATTTTTTTGCCATCAACAAATTAAAAGCATTATAAACCAATAAACAACATCAAACATACTTATAACGGGGATGTTCTTGCAGATTTCGTGTTCCATAATCAAGGTCAGAAGAGCATATCCTGATATTGACGGCAATTCAGCTTCTGTCAAAATGAGGTCTATGTTATGAGGTCTGGCCTTCAATACTTCCCAAGCCTTCAGACCGTCAGCAACTGAAGCAACTGCAGACAGAACAAGGCAACTTGCCTCAGTCTTTGTTTCGATATTATCATACACAAATTCTTAGCCTTCTAATGTTTAAAACATATCAGAAAGAAAATCAACTGCAGTCAGAACCTGGTAAATCACCTCAATCTTTGTCTCAATATCATCGTACACTGACTCTTAGTCTTCTAATGTCTAAAACATATTAAAACAAAATCAAGTGAAGACGGTACAATGTCAAATCACTTCAATCTTTGTCTCAATCTTATCATACACAAATTCTTAGCCTTAATGTCTAAAACATATCATTAACAGAAGCAACTGCAGCCAGAACAAGGCAAATCACCTCGATCTTAGTCTCAAACTCTCAATATAATCCTAAACAAATTATTAATTTAGCCTTCTAATTTCTAAAACATAAAAGGAACAGAATCAACTGCAGACAGAACATGGCAAATCACCTTGATATTCGTCTCGATATTAATTATAATACACAAATTCTTAACCTTCTAATATAAAAAATACAACCAGAAGCTTGAATCTGTCAAAAACCTCAACAAGAATGATTCAAACTGAAGCATAAATTCCCTTCAATTATGCAACAAAATTACAGATGTCTGAAAACTGAAGATATCAACAAAAAATCATCATTTCAGATAAATTTTACAAAACTCTGGAAAGATCTACTAGTTTCTTCTAGCAGAAGAATCGTCAGCTCCTCATCAGATCAACTTCTTATTTCAACAACTAAAGCTATAAAGAACATTCAATTTACCAAACAAATCAATAAAATAGATGATAACTCATTGAAATTTGCTGAATTTCCAGCATATATATATCAATAATTGAAGTACAAATGCAAATTAAACATCTTTCAATACAACCAAACAAAGGGTAACCAAAAACAATTTATCCTTAAGCACCTTAAATCTCAATATGAATCTAATTTAATTCATAATCTCGCAACAAGAGACCGACTTACAATAACTTATCCGTACAAAATTATTTATTGTAAGTCCGCCTCATACAAGATATTTCTGCTCTGTCTCACAAAACCTTTACAGAATCTGTTTTTTTTTTTTTTTTTTTTTGTAAAAAATCCACTGAAAACGGTAAAACCCACCTCTTAATTGCATCAATTAAGAGGTGGGTTTTGAACTAAAACAAGAATTCATACAAACTAAATAAAATCAAAGCGAAATTAAATTAAACCCAAGAACACTAAACTGACCTTTATAATTGCATTTTCGAAGAAGGGCACCAATAATTTGTCGAGTAGAATCATCATATTCAACCAACAAAATTCTAAGACCCATTTTAGGCAATCTAGTCGAACCATCTTTACTTTCTTTTTTCTTCTTCTCTTCTTCTTCTTTCAGAATCTCCATTATTTCTAAATCTTCTTCAGTACTCATTACTACTTCCCCCATTTTTTTAATCTTCTTTACTTCAAAGATCAGCCACAAAATCAAGTAATTTTACTTCAAATTCATACATATGTATGTGTACATACAAAACCCAGCTAAACTTTCTCCTTGTTTTTTTTTTATTTCTTTGGATTTTTTTGGTGAACCAAATTATAAATGTCTAAGTTTTTCAAAAAATAATAAACATAGTAATGTTGATATAGTTAAAAATATCTGAATTTGGAACGAAAGGATACCATCCAACGGCCAGGATTTAACAACAGGAAAAAGGAGCCGACTGAACCAACGGCTGTAAAGCGAATTCTTTTCTTTGAGAAGGTAGCAAAATATCTACAAACGTTGTATGGCCCAAATTAACCACGTCAGCCTTTTTCATTTTTTTTTTTCAATTTGTATTTATTTTTTCTAATGTGGGGTACAATCAAAAAGAAAGAAGCCATTGGTCCCATTTTATATTTAATCTTATTTTTTTAATTAATGGTTTATTTATTTTTACATAATTTTTTAATTTATGGTTGGTTCAAACCGATTTTGCAATTCTCTTTTTTCAATTTTTTTTAATTATTTAAAAGAGTATAATTTGGGATATTTTGAGATTTGGGAGTGCCGAGTGGACACATGGGATGGAAAAAAGAGGTGGGGTCCACAAACAAAGATATTAGCATAAGTGGTAGATATTGCGAAGATATTTTATGTGTGGGACCAAACAAGTGGTGCTTGATGGATAGGACTATGACACGTGGGTGTTGTTGAATGTATTTAGGGGTATTTCATTTATTACTCCATATATTTTGTGGCTTATAATGGTTTAATGGTAATCTAGAACAACGATTTCTGCCGGCTCTTTTGAAGAGAAAGGACATTTTAATAGCTTTTTATTTATATTTTATCTCTAATAACTTAGGTTTTAATTGTGTTTTAGCTAGATTGATTTGATATATGGGTCATATTTGTCACATTTCAACTACTCTTGGGTTTCTAATGTTTTATATCTGTCGATAAAGAATTTAGCGTTACGTGTATTTTGATTATTCACTTAGGAAAATTTTGCTTATTATATAAGTTTAAAAGGAAAATTGAATAGTAAAGATAAATCTTATTCTTATGCGCTAGGTTAAATAATGTTTTATCAAGATTTAGGGTATGTTCTCTTCAGCTTAATTTCAGGTCAGTTTAGTTCAGCTCCAATCAATTCAGCTCCAATTTATTCAATTTAGTTTAGTTTAGTTTTGTTCAGCTCAATTTACTTCTTTCATAAACAATTTATTTCAACTCTATTAGTTTGTTCAGTAAATCAGAATATACCCTTATTATCATCAAATTATTATTACTCAAATCTAGTCCATGAATTTGGTAATTAGGTACTAACTATGGTACACAATACCTATCGTTTTTTCATGTTTGGCTTTCTTTATTCAAAAACTTTTGTATCCCTTTAATTTACAAAAGAAGAAATTGAATAGACTTTTCATTATAATGTTTTTGTTTACACACACAAAAGAAAAAAAAATATATCAATATACAAATTATATAGTCATTTAGCATTTTCTAGTTTTACTCTTTTCTTTGACAAATTTGTATGTTTTATGGATTTTGATATTACACATTAATTAAGTACTCCACTTATAAGTTTCTATTACTCCATATGTTTTGTTTTTGTTTTTAAGGGAAGTTTCTATTTTGTTGAAACAAAGTAAATATTTTTTATTTACTTCCTATTACGAGTACTAAACTTGTTATTTCACATGTTCTAACACCTTGTTTATAGCATCAAGCTTGTTGTATCCAAAGTACAATTAACATTTCTGAATTATATTCCTTGACAATCTCTAATACGGAGTAGTTTAAATTATAATTATCTAAGAACGCATATATAATAGGTAAAATATTAGAAATTTGTTAAAAAAAAAAACGAGAGAATATGAGAATATATCATAAGTCAACATAGAACTAAATTATTAGGACAATTGAAGAAACATGTCTGGCTTCTAATGGTGAACATTGGAATTGATTAATAGGGAAGAAATATGGAATTTGATACCCTAAATTTATATATTCTAGTCGTCAAACTCTAATAATCATTGTTCATGGATTCTTCGATATGAGCCATTGAATGAATATCTAAAATAAGAACAATTACATCCTACGATTTTATTTTGCTTCAAGCCACATATTTCTTCCTTGTTTCATCTGTCACCAACTTGAATTTTCATTCAAAAATATCAACAACCAACAATAGTAACTACATATAAGCCATACCATTCAATAAGCTCATGACTTGTACGTAGATTACGTTTGTATGCACTAGTCAAACTTTACGTAATAAATCGCAAACAATTGTTTGGAAACAATTTAAAGAGGCTTATAGTTATTAGTTAGTCGTATTAATATGATAGAGAGTACATTTATATTCAAATTCAATTCTTCATCCGTTTTAAAATATTGTCCACATTTGGTTTGAGTACATATGGAGTATTAGATAAACTTGAGATTACAAATTTACAAGATAGCCAATTAATGTTTAGTGGCCTAGTGGGGTTTGAAATTAAACATTTGTTGAATTGTATATTCATTAACTTTAAGAGGAAAGTGAGGGAAGTTGAATTGGTTGAGTGATATTTGAAAAAGATATTATTATGTTGTAAAAATGTTTTAGGATGTATTTCAAAAAAAAAATATTTTAGGATGGAACAATTCAACACAAAATTTTGAGTAAAATAATAATGTATGTTTCTTTTTACTTGCAACACATTTTTGAGGCACGTAATTTAAGGAGATAATTAATGAAAGTAAACGAGCCATTTTATCAAAATAATTTTAACATAAGCGCGTGTAAAATTAATGAAAGTAGGGTTAGGTATCATGTGTAAAAATTATTTTGAATAATTAATTCGTTTACATTGTATTATTTCGACCTCAAAGCGCGTGCCACATATTGTGGTGCAAGTAAATAAAAACGGAAGAAGTAATGAATTTCTAAATATTTTTACTACACACTCTGTAATTTTGTATTACTTGTAATTTTAACATCCTCATATATACCGATTACTGTTTCATTATTCACATAAGACATATGAAGTATATACTCCGTATTAGTTGGAACAATTTTTGGGATTATAAAAGAAAAAAATGAGTGAAGAATTAGATATTTAAGTTAGCTAGAGGGAAAAAAAAAGATCTTCTAGTGAAGTGTATACCAATAAGAATGCAAGGTATGAAAACATTAAGCAAGATCCACAAGTTGCAAGGGCAGCCACCAAACAATGAAAAGAGCAACACCTAATAATAATATCACCCACTTATTATCGTACTATTTTTTGTCCATTTCTCTTTGAAATGTTTAGTAAGTCCCTTTTCTTTTTCTTTTTTCTTTTTGGTTATTTTTTTGGGCTTTTTGGGTGGAATTGGGGGGTGGTGACTGATGATGAGGTCGCATCCTGCATTAATAGCTTAGTCAGATATTTAAATTACATTAATGAATCTTGGCCCCTAATCATGTTGACATTATCAAAATTGTTACTCGTAGTTTGTAAGTACTGTACTACTTTTGTTCTTTTTTTTTTTTTTTTTATCGTTCAATTTGGTTTTTTTGAGATTATATGATAAATCTTTGATAACAAGTATTTCCTCAGTTTTTTTTTTTATAATATAGCTGCAGCAGTTTGACTTTTACACTATTTATGCGTTTAACTTTGACGATTTATACTTAATTAAAAATATGATCATGTGGAATCTTGCTAGATTTGTCTCGATTTATAATATTGTAATATCTAAAACTAAAATTTATAATTTTTACATATTGGTAATCAAAGATATTTATGATTAAAAACATGCATTGGTAAACGTGAAAAGAAAAGTTTTGCAGCTATAACAAAACAGAGGAAGAACTAAAAAATAGCACAATAATCACCTACTAAGATTACACGAGCCATATAAACTACTTTGCAGTAATAATAAAAGTTTCAAGGCTTTTAACACCCCCCCCCCCCACCAAAAAAAAAAAACTTATCATAATATACCAACTATTAAATCAATGGGTGGCTTGAATCGAATACCTAACCAGGCCACGCCATGAGGTAAAGTGCTAAACGTTGAGCTTCATTATGATTTTCATTTTTGCCAAGTCTATAGAAGTTCAAGTACAACTTAAATAAAGGTATTTTATTTTAATAGCGATTGTAAACAACAAATTATATTTACACAAGGTTAAGGTTATAAATGAAATGTCATTTTCAATGTATAAGTGGTTGTAAACAAAGTTAAGATTAATGAAATATCTAACCTAGTACTAAGTTTAACATCAATGCATTAGTAATTACAAAAAGCTATCCACTATTCAAAAAAGCATTTAGCAATATATATTGACCTTGTGAGTATTGTGAAGTTGTGACGATAGTAACAATTTTGCCAACTTTTGTCACTTTCATTGGAAGCAACCAAGCATAGTAACGTGGTGTTGGCCCAATGATAATTCGTAAAAGTGGCGTATTGATTTTGCAATTAGTTGAATAGGAGGTTGATAAAATTGATAAGGGATATACATGCAAATGTTTCATAATCATAAATAATTGATTGGTTTACTTACAATTCGACACATCCAATAACAAGAGGGCCGCAACTACAATTGGATGAAAAAATATATTTTTTTATTTTTGTAAAAAAAGGGAAAAATAAAAAGAGTAGTCATTGTTAAAATAATAAATGTAACACTCATATCCAACACAATAATTAAGTATTTCTTTCAAAAAAAAAAAAACACAATAATTAAGTATGGAAGAAAACGTGAATATGCGGTTATTCATTGTAGAAGAAAAAATAACGAAGAATGGTTGTTATTTGTCGAGCAACACAAGCCCAACGTTATAGTCAACCACTCAATTTTAGAGCTACGTACTCCGTCTAAAAAGTACTTTTTTTTGCTTTAACTTTGAGGATGAGATATTTTGGTTGGATATTTTTTAAAAAAATCTTTTTACATGACCTTTTTTTTATTTTTCTTTTAATTTATTCAAGTATGTATTTTTAGGGAAAAAAAACTAAGATTATTAATCATCAAATATAAACACCACAGGCGTGTTGATGGTGACTTTTAGTGGTTTGACAAATCAAAACACCGATTAATAAAAAAAAAATTATTTACTTATGTAATTATATGAATAGTGTTTAGTGATAGCAGTAGCTTTT